AGTTGGAGTCTCACTCTGTCACCCATGCTGGAGTGCAGTGGCACGTTCATGGCCACCACAGCCTCGACCTGCTGGGTTCATGTGATCCTTCCACCTCAGCCTTCCAAGTAGCTGGAACTACAGGCATGTGCCACCACTCTCAGTTAATTTTTTTTTTTTTGATTTGGAGTCTCACTCTGTTGCCCAGACTGGAGTGCAGTGGCCGCTCCCGGCCACCGCAGCCTCGACCCGCTGGGCTCCAGCGATCCTTCCACTTCAGCCTTCCGAGTAGCTGGAATTACAGGTGCGCGCTACCACGCCTGGCTAATTTTTTTATTTTAATTGTAGAGATGAGGTCTCACCAAGTTGCCTAGACTGGTCTCGAACCTGCAGGATCAGGCAATCCTCTCATTTCAGCATCCCAAAGTGCTGGGATTATAGACGTGAGCTACCATGTCTGGCTTACTAACCATATTTTAAAGCTATGCAAGCAGTGCCAGGTCTAGAAACCAGAGCCAGGGCTTCTCTGATTCCAAGCTCCTAGGGCATGCCCCTCGTGAGGTCTTGTCAGATGTGAGGCAAAGGTATGCAGCAGCCTTCTAACTGATCTTCTCTTCCACACAGCCAATCTCCTCCACCTAGCACCAGTGGGGAACTTCCCTCTCCTCCTTTAAATCCCTCAGTGGCACCCAAGGCCTTCAGTGTCAAGTCGTAGCCCACTAACCTGGCATTCACAGTGCCCCTGCAGCCTCTCCTCCTAGGTCATCGTGAAGCCTCTCAACATGAAGTGCCCTCAAAGGCTGAATGAACACTTTTCAACCACTAGGCCTGTGCTCATGCTGGTCCCTTTGCCTGGAATGTATCTCCCTTCTTCTGAACCTCCACTGTACTCCCTGCCCAAATCTTCCTCATTCTTCGAGGATCATTTTGACAGGGTGGAAGGTGTGGGTGGCAATCCTGGCTCTGTCACTTAACCAGTTATATGGCCTTAGGCAACTCACTCCCTTTTTCTAAACCTGTTTCCTCATCCGTCAAATGAGATAATAATACCTACCTCAAAAGGCTATTTTAAGATCAAATGAGTTAATGAACCCTGAAAGCACTTTGTACATTATAAAGTATTATATACAATTCTCTTTCTTAAATGCCACCTTCTCTGTGATGCGCTCTCCATAAATGTTCAAGTTAGGGTTAATTGCTCCTTACTCTGTTTGCATAACACTCTGCTCACATCTCTATGATAGCAATTAGCTCATTCTGCCTCTTATTAGAGCTTCTGAATTCCTTTGAGGTAGGAATCATGTTTTATTTAAAGACAACAGTAAACAGAAATAGGTGTCATTTATCAAATGTCTACTATGTCCTGGGCATTGTGCTGAGCACTTCAGTAATTCTCATTTAATCCTTATTTGTTGGATTTAAGAGATAGAATCACTGGGCTCAGTGGCTCAGCCTGTAATCCCGCGCCTTTGGGAGGCTGAGGTGAGTGGACTGCCTGAGCCCGTGGGTTCGAGACCCGCCTGGGCAGGCGAGACCTCATCTCTACAATAAATCAAAAAATTAGCCAGGCGTGGTAGTGCGCGCCTGTAATACTGGCTACTTGGAAGGCTGAGGCAGAAGGATCCCCGGAGCCCAGCAGGTTAAGGCTGTGGTGGCCGGGAATGGCCACTGCACTCCAGTCTGGGCGACAGAGTGAGACTCCAAGTCAAAAAAAAAAAAAAAAAGAGATAGTATCAATTCTTCTGTTTTACAAATGATGAAGCTGAGGCTCAGAGAGGTTCATATGCTTGCTCTAGGTCACAGAGCCCCCAAGGAAAGATTATAAACCCTCTGCTTTTTCTACTAGGTAAAATTTCCTCCATAAACCTTCAAGATACAGCAGTCAGCACAGCAGTCTATGAAACCCTGATGTCCAACTTGAGGCTCTTACCGCGGTGAGCAGCTTGGTGAGCACAAAGCCTTCGTGGCTCCAGACACTGACACACTCCTCACCCATCCTAGGGCTCAGGGTGGCATTTCCTGCTCCCTCCTCTGAGCAGGATATGGGTGGCTGGCTGGAGGGCAGGATTCCTGGAACAGCACTAAAATATAGGCAGATTCCTGGGGTCCTTTCTGTGGCCACCCTGGCTGTGATAAGGACTGGCTGTCCAGAAGATCCTGTGAAAGGCATAGCAGGGGAGATGGAAGAAAATCAGGGGTGCAGCAGGAGCCCCCATCTTCAAATGTCGATTCATTTCTAAGGCTTTCTATAATACAATGTATTTTTGCATTGACTCTATTTAATAAAGTATTCCATATGCCATCGTTTACGTTATTGAGAAATGAAAATAACTGTGTATCATATAAACCCAAATTAAATTAGCTTGCACTCAACATAACAATCATACCAATACTTGAAAGACTGCAGTGCAATAGGCAGATACACATTGCCAATGCCAGTTTGTATAAACAAGCTCATCCTTTTCTTTTTTTTTTTTTGTAGAGACAAGGTCTCGCCAAGTTGCCCAGGTTGGTCTCGAACCCCTGAACTTAGGCAATCCTCTCGCCTTGGCCTCCCAAAGTGCTGGGATTACAGGCTTGAGCCACTATGCCCAACTAGTTCATCCTTTTTAAGAAAGTAGTTTTCCACCAAGTACCAAAATCCATGAAAAGGTTCATACCTTATTTTAAATTAGTGAGAAAAGGATACCTTATTCAGTGAATGGCCTTGGGACAATTCCCATATGGAATAAATATACAAAATTAGACTGTCATATCACACTGTAAAATACAGTCTAGAAGGATTAAAGAACTATACAAAAAAACTAAAAAAAAAAACTTAAGCAAGTGTTAAAAGAAAATACAGAAGAATGCATTTTTTTTTTTTTTGAGTAGGAGTCTCACTCTTTATCCCAGGCTGGAGTACAGTGGCATGCTCACAGCCACCACAGCCTCAGCCCACAGGCTCAGGCAATTCTTCTGCCTCAGCCTTCCAAGTAGCTGGAACTATAGGTACACCCCACCATGCCTGGCTAATTTTTTGATTTTAGTATAGAGACAAGGTCTTGCCAAGTTACCCAGGCTGGTCTCGAACTGTCTCAGGCAGTCCTCTCACTTCAGTCTCCCAAAGTGCTGGGATTACGGGTGTGAGCCACTGCGCCCGGCAGAATATATATATATATTTTTTTGAGTTGGAGTCTCATTCTGTCGCCCAGACTGGAGTGCAGTGGCCGCTCCCAGTCACTGCAGCCTCGACCTGCTGGGCTCTGGCGATCCTTCTGCCTCAGCCTTCCAAGTAGCTGGAACTACAGGCGTGCGCTACCATGCCCGGCTAATTTTTGATTTATTGTAGAGATGAGGTTTCGCCAGGTTGCCCAGGCAGGTCATGAACCTGCGGGCTCAGGCAATCCACTCACCTCAGCCTCCCAAAGGTGTGGGATTACAGGCTGAGCCACCGAGCCCAGCTCCAGCAGATTATTTTCTAATATTAAGGAAAGAGAGCCCTTCCTATAAAAGACCCAAAACTTAAAAGGCTTAATAAAGGACAAGAGTGATAAACTTAACCTCATACAAATTAAAGTCCTGCATGCAATAATGTACAAGTTAAAAAACAAGCAAGAGGTTGGTTGAAAAGTTTTCTTATCTAGAATAAACACCTTTTAAAATTAAGAGGAAAAAGACAAACAACTTAAAAAAAAAACTCTGGGAGGCCAAGGAGAGTGGATTGCCTGGGCCCGCAGTTTTGAGAACAGCCTGGGCAACTTGGCAAGATCTCGTTTCTACAATAAATTTAAAAAAAAAAAAATTAGCCAGGCATGGTAGCGCGCGCCTACAGTTCCAGCTACTTGGAAGGCTGAGGCAGAAGGAACAACAGAGCCCAGCAGGTTGAGGCTGTGGTGGCCGGGAGCATGCCACCGCACTCCAGCCTGGGCGACAGAGTGAGTCTCCAACTGAAAAAAAAAAAAAGTTGAAGACCATATAGTGCCAGGCTCGGTGGCTCAGCCTGTAATTCTGCGGCTTTGGGAGGCTGAGGTGAGTGGACTGCTTGAGCCCGCGAGTTTGAGACACGCCTGGGCAGGCGAGACCTCATCTCTACAATAAATCAAA